GGCCCGAGGCCGCCATGCGAGCTTCGCCACTGGGACCTTAAGTGGAGCTCGCTATGGGGCCACGAAACGTGTGCGGGGTGTGCCGACATGGCCCGAGGCCGCCATGCGAGTTCCGCCACTGGGACCTTAGGTGGAGCTCCTTATGGGGTCACGAAACGCGTGAGGAATGTGCCGAAATGGCACGAGGCCGCCATGCGAGTTCCGCCACTGGGACTTTAGGTGGAGCTCCCTATGGGGCCACGGTCCTTGTGTTGAAATGGCCCGAGGCCGCCATGTGAGCTTCGCCAGTGGGACCTTAGGTGGAGCTCCTATGGGGCCACGAAACGTGTGAGGAGTGTGGCGAAATGGCCCGAGGCCGCCATGCGAGTTCCGCCACTGGGACCTTAGGTGGAGCTCCCTATGGGGTCACGAAACGTGTGAGGAATGTGCCGAAATGGCCCGGGGCCGCCATGCGAGTTCCGCCACGGGGACCTGAGGTGGAGCTCGCTATGGGGCAACGAAACGTTTGAGGGGTGTGCCGAAATGGCCCGAGGCCGCCATGCGAGCTTCGCCACTGGGACCTTAGGTGGAGCTCCCTATGGGGCCACGAAACGTGTGAGGGGTGTGCCGACAGGGAGACATGTGGAAGGCAGAGGCAAGGAGGGGGAGGAGGGAGGAGGAGGAGGAGAGGAGGAACGCGGGGCGCCGTCTCTTCAAAACGATGAAAAACATAACGAAGTCGGCATCGATCAGCCACAGTGCACACCTGAGCCCAATCTGCGATGGGATGCAGAAGAAATGGAGCGCATGGAAAATACCCTAGCGAAAGAGCCAACCCAATCGTATGCAGTTGTAGATGCCGCAATTGTGAATACCGTCTTCGGTGGAGCTCCATTTGGGGCCACGATGCGTGCGAAGGGTGTGCCGAAATTGGAAGTGAAACCGCATGCGAACCCTGCCACTCGGGCCTTCGTTGAGGCTGCCTATGGGGCCACGAAACGTGTGAGGGGTGTGCTGGAATGAGGGTGGAATCGCATGCGAACCCTGCCATCGGGGTCTTCGGTGGAGCTCCCTGTGAGGCAACGAAACGTTTGAGGGGTGTGCTGAAAGGGAGGTGAATCCGCAGGCGAACCCTGCCACTGAGGAATTGGGTGGGGTTCCTGAGGGGTGTGCTGACATTGGGCGTGGAACCGTATGCGAACCCTGCAACTGGGGCGTTCGGTGGAGATCCCTGTGGTGTCACGAAATGTGTGAGGTGTATGCCGAAATGGATGTGGAACCGCATGCGAACCCTGCCAATAGGCGAACTCCCTATGGGGCCACGAATCGTGTGAGGGGTGTGCCGAAATTGAAAATGGAGCCGCATGCGAGCCCTGCCGCTAGGGCCATCGGTGGAGCTCCCAATGGGGCCACCATGCGTGCGAAGGGTGTGCCGAAATTGGAAGTGAAACCGCATGCGAACCCTGCCACTGGGGCCACCGGTGGAGCTCCCTCCCTATAGGGCCACGAAACGTGTAAGGGGTGTACCGAAATTGGGGTGGAACTGCACGCGAACCTTGCCAGTGGGGCCTTCGGTGGAACTCCCTATGGGGCCACGAAACGTTTGAGGTCTGTGCCGAAATGGGCGCGGGACGCATGTGGACGCAGCCACTTGGGCCATCGGTGGAGCTCCCTACGGGGCCACGAACCGTGTGACGGCTGTGGCGAAATGGGCGCGGGACGCCTGTGGACGCAGCCACTGGGGCCTTCGGTGAAGCTCCCTATGGGGGCACGAATCGTGTGAGGGCTGCGCCGAAATCAGCGCGGGACACATGACATGCGGACGCAGCCATAAGGGCCTTCGATGGAGCTCCCTCGAGCGCGTTTTTGTTTTCGCGAAGATACTGGGCATTATGGAGTAGGGGGGCCGGGGGGGGCGGCAAAACATAACGCCCCCCCCAGCGTGCGGTTTCGGCGCCACCACAGCGTCCGCGCGCACGACGACGAGGACGACGACGACGACGACGACGACGACG